TTAAATCATATGTGGCAACTTTCTTGCATCTCACTTTCATAACCACTTATATGAAAACAAACACCTTAATTGTTAAATGAAAGTAACTTTTTCACTTTCATCTTTCACTTGCATGCAAACAAACACCCCATTAAGTTCTTTACTAAGTTGAGAGAGTTAAATGAGTCCCAAATGTGTTTTTAATCAAATATTCAAAATACAAATGTATATAGAGAGGAACTAGGGGCACACCCTCTACCACACCTCCAACCACACCATCTCTCTCGCTACAGTACACGGGCCCATATGAGATTTTATTAAATGAGATTTTATTAAAATAAAATCCCATGTGGGCCCGTATACTGTAACTAGAGAGATGATGTGGTTAGAGATGTGGTAGATGGTGTGCCCCTATCATTTCTAATGTATAAATCATCATCATCATCATTGTCAAAGAGAAAACTGTGTTTATTGATCTTTATAAGAGACTGGCTTGGAACAGCTGTGCAACAACTATTCATCAATTTTTTGCCTCGATGCCCTGTTCTATTGATGCTAACTTCTATTTATTATGAATTTACAATAGCATTGAGACTATTCAATGCAAAGTGATGTCCCGTCTTGTCTTGAGAAATTGGGCTCTCTCCAAAAGCCAGCCCTTACCTAGCCCAACCTGATTCATTCGTAATATAGTTTGTTGTTTTGCATCAATGATAGCTTCAACGTAATCCAAAAAGATTGTAAAATCATAATGAAACTTTTCATTTGTACTCCAACACAAAACGATTTCTATGATATTCTATATATGTACATCAGCTGTTATACAAGATAAGTACAAAATAGTTGCATAAGAAAGAATAATATTTAATTAAATATCTCTTGTGCTGCTCTCAAACTCTCGGGTGCAACATTAACCATATGTTTGGATATGAAAAGCTAAAACTAGAAAATGAAAGAATTGGAACATGATGATGAGATGAATAAGAGATGAATCCAACAATATTAATAAAGAAAAAACCAAGGGGTTGTATGATCAATGACGTATGATAAAATCTAGAAGCATCGATAGAGAAACTCAATATCGACAAGATGAACAGCAAGAGATAGGAATATTTATGCATCAGTGAAGAAAATTTTAGTGACGACAAGATTGAACAACAAGGGATATAAATCTTGTGCACCAATGAAAAAAATGTTCATGGTTAGTGTCAAGACCGTGAAAAGCAGGAGCTCGCACTGAAGAAATATCGCTATTTGGTATTGAGGCCGTGCGCAGAAAAGCTCGTAAACATATAAAAAGAGTTCAATATACCGAGGGCTTTCCACAAGACGTTAATGCGCGCGAGAATAAATTAGCGGCAGGAGACACGCCGAAGTTCGGATCATGCGGCAGGCAAAGTCGGGTCGGGCTTAGACTTAGGCACTGTTTGGCAACAAGAGATTGTGTCTTATCTAAGAGATTGTGTCTTATTAACTTGGTCAATAAACTAGTAGAGCTGTTTGGTGATAAAAAATAAAAGAAGATTATTTTGGAGATTGTGTCTTTTGCAAGTAGCTTTTAGAAAGCTACCTCAAGTAACATTTGTCTTCGGGAAGGAGCTGCCAAATTTTTTCTTCCGTTTTTGCCCCTAATAATTCTAATTTTATATCAATAATATTGCATGTCTTTTTTAGTCATTTAACAAATTTAAGCTAGCTGTACAGCTACTTTTGCCAAACAGCTCTAGTCAATTAGCTAGCTACACAACTATCAGCTTTCAGCTACAATTTCACAGCTTTCAGCTAGCTTAACAGCTTTCAGCTATAATCTCGCAGCTTTCAGCTAGTTTTGCCAAACAGAGCCTTAACAATTAGTGCAAATGATACGTGATCTGCTATCCGTTACACGTTTTTAAGTAAGTTTTCTGTTGGGTTCAACGAAATTGAGATGTTTATACAAGAAAGTGAGACGCAAGAAAGTTGCCACATATGATTTAATGCAATTTTGACAATTAAGGTATTTGTTTTTATGTAAGTGGTTATGAAAGTGAGATGCAAGAAAATTGCCACATATAATTTAATACAATTTTGACTTCATCTAAAAAAGTGGTGAAGTCACATGAAAGTGACAAAAGGATAACTAATTTAATTAAATGATTTTAATTATACTTTCTAATTAATCTTATTTTGCCACGTCATCTTCACATTGCACTTTCGATAATAACTTAATTTTTCAAACAAACACTGTATTTTACTTGCGTGCTGACATGAATGTAAAAGTCATTTACAAAAAAAAATAACTTATATATTTTAAATTTACTTTCAGATTGCCAAACACACCCGTCCTATTGAGTTAGGCTTAAGTCTTTACCCAAATCTTTTGGTATATTTGGTATATATATTGTTACTTTTAATATCCCATTAATTTTTGTCCATGCTTCGTCATTAGAGGGAGGGTGGAAATGAACAAGATAATCAACATATAGTTTGCCGGTTGTATTTAACAGATAGTCCATAAACAGTAATTAAATATTTTTTAAATTTGGTTAGAGGATTTTTTTTATTTAAACTGGGGCTTTTTCTAGGATTTAACTTTTAAATGTTATTATTGGTCAGAGCTATGATTTACATTCTAATTAAGGTGTTAGTGGTTTAGAATTAGAAATTTGAATTTAACTTTATTGTGTTATTAATTGTTTAGGATTATGATTAGGACTAGGATTTCAAAATACAAATCTCAATACTATATACTTTCTAGTGAGGACTCTCCAGAGAAAATTCCATGTTAAGATTAGTGTACTAATCACCCTCCTAGGATTTCCTCTCTCCCCTTTCTTTAATGAGTCCATATGTAATATACTATATTCTGAAAGTGTGTCATATTAAACCTTTTCTTTCAAAAATATTAATTGACAATAATAATTTCACATCATAAATATGTTATACTTAATACTATTTCCTATTGCTTATGGCTATATAATAAGCCCCTCAAATTAATTATTATAAGTTAATTATTAAAGCCAAGAACGACGGAAGTTGAATTGTTGATCTGGAATTGTGTTTAATTCACAACAATGACAGCCGCATTTTGATGAATAGAGAAATGAATGTGAATATATCATATTATGCTCCCTTTAAAAAGGGAGTTCTGGAAAAACTTACCAAGGACTATATTACCACTATTTTCTTTTGATATTACATTCTAATACTAACTAAACTAAATTAATTATCATTGTTAATTAATTATATTATATTGCTCACATTCTTATAAGTTTATGAAGCTCATAGCTTGGATATGAGTATTATTGCAGATATTATATTCTTCTAACTCCTTAAGCTAAATTTTTGGATGTTGTTTGACATTAGATATATATGAATTATTTTTTTAAAATACATTAATCAATATGAGCATAATATGTACAAATCATTCTTATGCTATATTTTATAATTTTTTGAACTAGAGAGTAATCGTTTTGACGGATCAATTAGTAGTTGGGAAGATGTAAAAAGAGTACAACATCAAATTTTAGAATTGATCACATAATTTATATTTTCTTTCTTGATTTAATTTGTACATTCTAACTTAGAAAATTATAGAAAAAAGTTATTGAATATCTATAATACTCAATCGCCAGATAAACAATATGTGGAAGTAAACAACAGGTGGAAGCGATTTTTTTTATAATTGAATAAAATCCTTAATGACTAGATAAAACCTACCATTTTCCTTAATGAATTCAAGAATTTATTATTTATTAATAATAATAGATTTTTTCCGTATTGGTCTCTTTCATCATTAATATTTTAAAATTATACATTCAAATTATTAATTAATCTTAAATCATTAATATTTTAAGGCTTTAAACATCACTATTTCTCTGAAAAACAAAATGTTAAAATCACACATGGAATTATCTAAAAAATAATAATATATTATGATAATTATAAAGTTTTTATAACCATATTATAGTAAATAAATAAACTTAAAGTAAATAACTATAATATTTGACCACATGCAGTGCACGTTCATTCCACCTAGCAAGGCTAAAAGCACAAAGAGGCACACCTCATAGTTATTCTCTACTAAATTTAATTCATTGATCAGTGCCCATTCAAGATTTCTCAGGCTGCTCCATCTTCTTTTGGTTTCCAATATGCTCCATCTTCTTTTGGTTTCCGATATTGCTGTCTAGGGTGGGTGGTGAAAGTGTTTCATGTAATTTGGTCTCGTCATCATCACCAAAAGTTCTGCTTTTGTTGGGTACCGACTCAAACTCCACGTCAGATGCGGGTTTGAAGACTAGACCCAGTCCTAATAGTTTTCTTAAAGATCACGTTAACTTGGTGGACAAGCCAGATGTGTCTTTAAATAAGGCATCCTATTCTAGAGTTTAGATGTAGAGAGAGGGAGAGAGACAATATTCTTGTAATTAGGATTTAACAGATGGTGTAACTGGGTGCACGGGTATTGTGTGTGTGAGAGAGAAAGGGTTTGACAGTTTTTGTCCGTGCAAAAGATTGCAATTTGAAGATGACAGCGGATTGTTTTCGATCCCATGGTTTTTCCCTGTTGAAGGTTTTCCACGTTAAATCTCGTGTGATTCTATTTGCCACGTTTGATAATTTTTGAGATTTTTGGGAGATCTAAAAATCCCATAAGCTTTTTAAAGTTATTTGCAGTCAAGACGAACTTCTTCGAGCGTCCTATAAACGTGGGACAGAGGTCGAGGTTGATATTGCTGTCTAAGGGGGGTGCTCAAAGTGTTACATGTAATTTGATCTAGTTATTATCACCAAAACACACACACGCATACACAAGCAATGGCTCATATTTTATTTTGCTCACTACCCAAAACTTCTTTTCATAAGGGACAATACAGCCTAAGCTCTGATACAATCTGTCATGACCCCAATTTCAGTACCTAAAAGGAAATATTGGAGCCGGACTAAACTTGTGAAAAATCCTCCAAAAATACATATTCATTAGAAGACCGTTACAATAATCTCTTCATTGAACTAAAAATAACAATAAATATTCTCTTTATAATCCCAAAAGTCAACATTAATCCAATTAACTCGAAATAAATAAATATTTCCTCAAATTGAAATAAAACTCGACCTAAAGGAAATAATCTCATTATCACAAAACTCTTAATTCATCAACTAAACATCAAGACTTAATTTAACTTTCACCTAGGAGACAATATCAATCTCGAATTTTATTCCTTGCTCCGTTCTAAGAATTTGAACAATCCTCAATTCTACCTAATCCTGAGTCTCTGAAAAGAATGAAAAATAACACAATGAGTTCACAACTCAATAAGTGGGTAAATTCATACATTAATCACTGGTTTTGCAAAACGAAAATATTTGTACAAGAGATAAATAAAATATAAGAATGATAGAGAATCATCAATGAACTCTAGTACTTGATGCAAATATTTAAGAAAACTTATAAGTCATGAATTGGAAATAAGCATGCTACGTTTGAATACGGTCAACACTTCGTACTCCGGTTGACTCGGTAAACCCCACAATTATTAAGCCTGTGGTTCCGCGACGGTGAGACCCAAATTTAGGCTCTTAGCGCTAAAACAAAACCTCATAGAGGCACATTGAGCCATGTTTTAATAACTTGCTTATATCCTCCATACACGGTATATTAACTTGAGATGCATATGTTTAAAAGAAAAATCAACAAAGTTCATATAACCAAGTATGTTATACAGAAATGCCAAAGGCCAACCAATACTAAAATTAATCAACCACATATGCATCTCAACCTACTACTATATGAAAAGACATAATAATTGACAAAGAAAATCAGCATAGGCTTATACCAAAAAATCATGTGCATTCATCCAATCAACAATTAGTATGCAAGCAACCATATAAAGGGTATAATCCATCAGAAAAAAACTTACATATAGTCAATGTAATTTTATATAAAAAATACACAACGAATAATGTATAAATTCACTACTTACCTTAATTCGAATGGCAAACCAAACTTTAACTCTCACAACGCTTCTGAGGAGCCTGTAGGAACCTCTATAGGATAAATACAAGCAATCATCAGTAAAAAGTATCCTATTAATTAATTTACATAACTCTTAATAAGTCTAGAACTATATTATCTAAATCATCAGTAAAAAGTATCCTATTAATTAATTTACATAACTCTTAATAAGTCTAGAACTATATTATCTAATAATTTACTAACCTAGTTGCTTCTTTTTAATTTACATAACTCTTAATAAGTCTAGAACTATATTATCTAATAATTTACTAACCTAGTTGCTTCTTTTTTTTAACAAAGAAGACAAAGACCTACTGTTCCTAACCAACTAAACTAAATAAATATCTTATTCTACTAAACACATGAGGACAACGAGGTATATGAATTTGATCTAAAATGAGTACTGCTCCACTACGAACTAATCATCATCTAAAATAAGATCTAAATAATCTAATACAAAAAAATTTTCTATATAAAATAATTACTAAAGATAGAGGTAATACCTCTTATATTTGTGTAACAAGACCTACTCTCCTTCAAAACAGATCCAATCAAAATTTTTTGTGCGGCAAAACAACGACGGGAGGAAGAAGGGAAGAGGCTGACGGGAAAGAATAGAAAGAGTTGGGTAGGGTTTTCACTATTTATAGGAGCCCTTTTTGCTAATAAAACCCTCTAATAAATTTTACATAAAAGTCCCTTTACTTATATATAGCCAAAAACTTGGAATTATTACAGATACTGTTGAAAAAAATATAGTTAATGTGATACAAAAGAGTTTATTAATATGTTTATTATATATAAAAAGCTAAGATTAGATATTTTGATCATCAAAATTAACCTCATATCCATAAGACTAACAAAATGTAATTTAAGAACATCATCAAACCGCAAGAATACGATATTATAAGTATTCACTTAGTTAAAAAAATGCAAATTTTCACATACTCTATGCAAACATAAGAAAGAACAAAAATATCAATAAGTAAAATGCAATGCCATTTGAGAAAATTAATAAAACAAAATATAAGAGAAATACATTCTAGCAAGATTATATTGAGTTTACCACCTATCAATAGTAAAGATAAACAAAGAAATAAACAAATTTCAAATAGAAAAATACAATTATATAGAAAGAAAAGAAAAATACAATTTTATAGAAAGAAAAGTCTTTAACTCTCTGTCTCTGGTTTTTGTATTCATTTTTCCCATTTTGTTGATGAAAGAATGAGCAGTCTAGCAACCCGCAGAAAAAGCCATAACAATCCAAAACAGTAGTAGAGAAAAAAAGGATATCCTATAACAAGGTGAGCTATTTTTATGGAAGAAATAAAATCTATCAAATTAGCATCAACTATGTCAAATTAGAGTGCACTAACTATGTCAAATTTCAGCCACTTAATTTTACAAACACTTAATATACAACCTTCCATTTCTTCACCCAACATAATTAAGTCTTATGCATCAGAGCGTTCAAGCCAACAACATTGTTTCAAAACCCCAAATCTTTTTCTTGCAAACAACAATAAAAACACAAACTCAAATAATATTTTATTGATATTCATAATTAAATAAACAAATAACTAAAAAAGTACCTCGTTAAACGACAAAGAAAGAAAAATACAAAAGTAACCAAAAACTTATCAGCCCTTACAATCAATTGCTCTCTCAATTTTTATACAACTCCATTTGTTTGACTTGAAGTGAATAAGCTAAAATATGCTTTTATATGTGGGCACAATAAGAAATATAAAATCTCTGATGAAGATGCAATTATGAAGGAAGGAGCAAACTCTAAATGTCTACCTATTGACCAAGTAATGCTACACTTATAAATCCAGAACTACCAGGTTTTACTAGTGTAAATTACAGGACAATTTGTTAGGGGATCCTGTGATGTCATGACCAAGCTGTATTAGACTCACAAAAATTTGTTTAATGAAGCAATATTTAAATTATTTATGACAACACCATAAAAATGAGAAAACTAAAAGTCTTTTTTTAAACAGCAACTGAACAATTCTATAACTGAAACAAAAGGAAATAGGTAACTTTTAGTTAGACTAATGCATCAAACCAAACTCAGAATCATGTCCAACAATCCGCCTCCTTTCCCAGGTCTAGCACCTGATACTTCTCGAGGAACACTTCGACCAATATATTGTCCTAAGTATAAGGGCACTTTGTATATTTCTAAAATTCTAATGAAACAAAGAAGTTAAAAATCCCTTAGAAGTAGACAACTCATTTATGATCTGAAGCATAATAAATAAAATTTGCAAATAAGAAACAATCAAAATAATAGCCTAAATGTGAACAATCAGACTTGTTGACAATATAATATATAATATATAACATAATTAGTCGAGAATTTTCAACTGTCTGAGATTGAAACAATGTACACACTATAACTTGTTTAATCTACAATCCCTGAAAGTGTAAAATGCTAAACACCAGGACTTAGTGTAGAGTTGGTGAAAAGTCAGAGGTATGCCACTGGAAGTTGGGCGGTCGACCGGCAGTGGAGCTGCGGTCGACCGATATGTGCACACAACTCTTAGTGTGCCTCTGGAATTTGGGCGGTCGACCGGACGAAGCGCTGCGGTCGACCGCGAATTGTCCAGAGAGCAGACTGGACCTCGGGATATTTTGCGGTCGACCGACAGTGGTGCTGCGGTCGACCGACTATCGGGTTTTGGGTTTAAGTTGGTTTTCCAGACCCGTTTTCTTTGTAACTTGTATATAAACCCCAAATCTGTTCTAGGGTTTTATGCAAGGGAGATTTTGAGCTGCCAAAGGGGATTTTCTAGGGCTTCTTTTGTTGGAGTCTATTGGAGAGATCAAGTGATCTTGTTTGAGGGTTTTGGGTAAGATTTGTAACCCTAATTTGTATTCCCCTTTGATTTGATTAGTGAAACTCCCCCCTCCTTGTCCCGTGGACATAGGCACATTGCCGAACCACGTATATCTTGTGTTCTTGCTGTGATTGGTTGGCTTGTGTCTATTGTGGTCTATTTTGTTCTTGTGTGTGCTATTGTTTTGGCTATTCGAGGCTTCCGCGGCGCACAACAAGTGGTATCAGAGCTCCGGGTTGGATTTGAGAGTTTTGTTCGAAGGATTCACTGTTGGATTCTTATTTGAAGAGTAGATCTACAATATGGGTGATACAAGCAGGGCTAGTTCAAGTGCTACTAGTACATCGGGGTCGGCTTTGACAAAGGCGATCCAAAATTTGAGCATCAATAACACTAAAATTGATGTCCCAAAGTTCGATGGCAAGATCAACTTCGGTTTATGGAGGTGTCTCGTAATGGACGCCTTAGATGCACAAAATTTGGAGGAGACTCTTGAGTTTCAAGAGAAACCCGAGGAGATTGATGATAGGGTTTGGAAGAAAATGCACAGTAGGGCTTGTGGGGTTATTCGGTCATGCCTAACACCGGATCTCATTTATGATGTGATGAACGAGACTTCGGCAAAGAGATTGTGGGAAACGCTCAATGAAAAATATTTGACAAAGAGCATTGAGAATCGACTTCACTTGAAGAAGAGGTTCTACAAATTCAAGATGAAGAGGGGAGTTTCCGTTCGAGAGCATGTTAACGACTTCACAAAGCTAATTTCGGATATGGCCAATGTTGATATCATGGTGGAGGATGAAGACAAGGCGATGTTATTGTTGTGTTCATTGCCAGATGATGAGTTTAGCACCTTTGTTCTCACTATGATAAATGGGCGAACTACAGTTAGCTACAAGGAGGTGACCTCGGCATTGGTGAATTATGAGCTGAGGAAGAATGATTGTGAGCCCTCCGAGAAGGCATCAGGTTATGCACTTGCAGTTCGTGGCCGTGCTCCAAACCGTCAAAAGTTCAACCGCTCAAAATTGAAGAATAAGGGTGGCCATAAAAGTGTTGGTAGAAATCAATGTGCCTTTTGCAAAGAAGAGGGACATTGGAAGAATGAGTGCCCAAAGTTGAAGGATAGAGCCGGGAAGCAAAGGGGGAAAGCTGTACAAGCTTCAGAGGTGAATGTTGGCAAGGTTGTTGGCGACATTTCAGATTCGGATTCTTCCGGTTATTCTTGTCATGCACTGCCGTCAGTTTGTTATGCCGACTCTACGGAGTGGATGCTTGATTCGGGAGCTACATTTAATATTTGCCCTAAGAGGGATTGGTTTACCAACTTTGAGGAGTTGAAGAGAGGAAACGTGGTGCTCATGGGGAACAATCACGTTTGTCCTATTAGTGGGATTGGCTCAGTCAAAATCAGAATGCATGACAGGGTGACTAGGGAATTGAAAGATGTGAGGTTCGTGCCGCAGTTGACGAAGAACCTCATTTCTCTTGGGACTTTGGAGGCATCCGGTTATAGAGTGATATTAGAGGATGCTAGTTTGAAGGTCATGAAGGTGTCCATGGTGGTGATGCGAGGTGTCAGGGAAAACAACCTATACTACTTGAAGGGCAAGACAGTTACAGGGGGTCTGGCTGCTTCTATCACCACAGAGGAGGACACTACCACACTATGGCACATGAGGCTTGGACACACAGGTGAAAAGTCTCTTCAGTCATTGGCAAAACAGGGGCTATTGAAAGGTGCAAAGACCTGCAAGATGGAGCTGTGTGAGCATTGCATACTTGGGAAGAAGACAAAAGTAAAGTTTGGCACCGCAATTCACAACACCCAAGGTATATTAGACTACATTCACACAGATGTTTGGGGCCCTTCTAAGCACACATCGCTTGGTGGGGCAAATTATTTTGTCACTTTCATTGATGATTATTCCAGGAGGAATTGGGTATATACCATGAAGCATAAACATGAGGTCCTGGATATATTTGTGGAGTGGAAGAAGAAAGTGAAGCTGCAGACAGGTAGAAAGGTGAAGACTCTTCGTTCAGACAATGGTGGAGAGTACAAGAGTGATCCATTTCTGCAGTTTTGCCGGGATCACGGCATTAGAAGGCATTTCACAGTTAGAGAAACACCGCAACAGATCGGATATTTGGGTGTTCAGCTTATTTCCATGTTAGTGATGGGAAGTTGAATCCGAGAGCAAGGAAGGCTATCTTTGTGGGATTTAGAGAAGGTGTAAAAGGTTTCAAATTATGGGATCTACAAGACAAGAAGATGATCATTAGCAGAGATGTCACATTCGATGAGGCGTACATGATGAAGCCTCGAGGTCCTCAACAGGTGGAGGAAGATCAGACAAGTGGGATATCGCAGCAGGTGGAGGATGATGTGACTCCACCCACTCCAGTTGGCACTGTTCCCATTGAGACTCCTACAGAGGTGACACAGGGAGGAGATGAGATGACAGTCGGGCATTTGGGGGATACAGTGGATGACAGTGACTGGCGAAGGCTCCCATGAGCAGGGTCATAGCTGCCAGGGGTCCCATTGGCATGATAGGACCCGAGGAGAGAGATTCGTCGCCAGCCGAGATATCGATGAATGTCATGGTGGCATATGCTTATCGTGGAGGTCGTTGATGATCTGATTCTGCCAGCATTCCCCAGGGAGGAGAGTCCAGTCCTGATCGCATTAGGTGGAGAGAGCATGGAGGAGGAGATGCAATCTCGTTCAGAAGAACGAGCACTCTGGAAACTTGCACAGGCTACCTAAGGTAAGAAAGCATTGTTGGCAAGTGGGTGTATGCTAGAGGAGGGACTTCTATTGGGTGACATTCGATATAAGGCCAGATTGGTTTGCAAAGGGATATGCACAGCTTGAAGGTAAT